TGAAAGTCTCTATTACCATGAAAACGTTTCGTAAAAATGGGAATTATGTATGAACAAGTGTATGGAAAATAAAGTTAACGCTTATTTTCACCGTTTTTAAAAAAGTTTCAATACGTGGTAATAAAAAATTGACATCAAAAGCAAAATGTACGAGTAGTTTTGCATTGCTGGTAAATAAGAAAAATAGTGCCTCGGAAAAAAATATATTGAGTTAAAAAACTATGGTTGGCACATCTTATTTCACACCACTAGGTTGAATACGACTTCAAATACTCCGGGAACCTGACGGTTCGACCTGATCGTGTTTTTTGTTGCGCCGACGGTTGTTGTAGCCGTACATAACCAGGCGCATCGTCAAGAATTTCGATAACCCGGCTATCCATCAGTCGGCTATAGCGAGCTGAAACGTCACTTATAACGGGGTTGCCCTCGAAATAAGCTGGTTTCAAACGGTCGATACTGACAACATCTTCACACCCGTCTCACTCAATTATATAGAATTTCTCGTGTCGCTTGATCACTCTGAATGGCCCGTCGTAGGGTGGTTCAAGTGGTCGACGAACGGCATCGTGGCGAATAAACACGTGTGATGTCTTCTGTAAACTGGGACGGAAGAAAACATCAGTCGTTTGCGGCCTAATCGGAGAAGGCGTAACTGAACGCGTTGCGTTTGTAAGCCTAGTCACGTAGGATGTCCTGTCGGAAACATGTTTGAAAACTGAAGGGGAAACAAATTCACCTGGTAGGCGAAGAGTGGTCCCATAGACGCGTTCTGCAGAAATGCATCTAGCGTCAGCTTTCAACGCTTTACGAATACCTAGTAGGACTAGAGGCAGAGCCTCGGTCCACTGAGGTATGTTTGCAGCTGAAAGGGGAGCCTTCAGCTGTCGATGGAAACGCTCTATCATGCCATTTCCCTGTGGATGGTAGTCTGTCGTTTGGAACCGAGTGCAACCTAAAAGTGCCGTTAGAGCGTGAAATGATCCGCACTCGAATTGGTGCCCACGGTTGGTCGTGACGTCAGATGGACATCCGAAGTCCGCGATCCATCTTTCGACGAAAACATAAACTACTATTTCAGCAGTAGTATCCTAATAGGTACTGCTTCTGGCCATCGTGTGAAACGATCCAGGCAAGTGAAGGGGTAAACACATCTATTAGATTCTGGTACGGGTCCTACAGTGCCAATATGGACGTGGTCGAAGCGCATGTCTGGGGCTAGGAAAGAAACTGAGGGGCTTTTCGTGTGTCGTGTGACTTTTCAGTTCTGACAAACTGAGCACGACTTTGTTCATTCCCGGCTGGCAGAAACGTTGCGCGATAAGCCTGATGGTGGCTCGTACACCTGGATGAGAGAGTTTGTGCAACGTATTGAAGACGTTGTGACGACAACCACTCGGGACCATCGGGCGTGTTTGACTGGCACAGACATCGCACAAAATTGTGTCCTTGTCTGATCCAACCAGACACAGTTGTAGTTTGAGAGTTTTGAACGACAACTCATGATGCAGCTCAAGGTCTTCTTTTTGACGCCGAGCTAGTTCAACGAGACCAACTCCCTCGATACGGTTTGTCAAAGCTATCCGAGATAGTATATCAACCACGGAGCTATCTGACGGATACCTGACGTGAACTGGGAAATATAATCCGGTCGTCGTGACTCACGAGGGGAGTATTTGTCAGACGCCGAGCTGAGGGAAAACGTTAACGGTTTGTGGCCTGTGAAATTAATGAAGCCACGACCTTCAACCGAATGTCAAAAATGGCGTACAGAACAATATATAGCTAGGAGTTCCCTACCAAATGTACTGTATCTTGTTTCCACGTCTTGCAGCCGCCTCGAGAAAAAGGCTAACGGTTGCCACTGGTTGTCAGTCAACTGTTGCAAAACTGCTCCAATTGCTGAATCAGATGCATCAACAGCAATACTCAGAGGAGCATTGGGATCACGATGCATAAGCGTGGTTGCGTTCCAAATGGCTTCCTTGACTTTAGAGAAAGCAAGTCTAGCTACGTTGTCCAGAGCCACGAACTTCATAGCCCCTCGGAGTAGATCTGTTAGTGGTCTCATGACAGAGGCACAGTTGGGAATAAACCTTCGGTAATAACTTACCAGGCCATTGAAAGTGCGGAGATGTTTCACAGTGGTCGGCTCTGGATAGTTTGTGATAGCCGCCACTTTATCTCTCAATGGGCGTATACCTTTGTTGTCAATGGTATGCCCAAGGAAGCTGAGTGATTCAACTCCTATTTCACACTTCTGTAAGTTGACTGTGATGCCATGTTTTTTAAGTCTTTCGAATGCGAGGTCCAAATGTTTAAGGTGAGTTTCCTTATCTGGACTCGCAATTAGACAGTCATCGATGTAGACATGAACAAAATCCAAACCACGGAAGACATAACGCATGAAGCGTTGGAATGTTTGTGCTGCATTCCGAAGACCAAATGGCATGCGCAGGAATTCAAACAGGCCAAAAGGAGTAATAATGGCTGTTTTCGCGATATCTTCTGCTGCCATAGGTATCTGATTGTACGCTTTGACCAAGTCGATTTTGGAGAAAATATTCATTCCGCATAAGGTTGCAGTCAAATCGTAAACGTGAGGTATCGGGTAGCAGTCCGGAGTTGTTTTGGCGTTAAGCCTACGGTAATCACCGGTTGGACGCCAGTCGTTGCTATCCTTTTTGGGAACCATGTGCAATGGCGGTGCCCAAGGACTGTTTGTGTCGACGAGGTAGGGGACTTTCGTTTCTATGTCGGTGACGTAGAGTAAACGGCCGTCTCCGCCGGCTACGGTTGCCGTGCTCACGTGCCGGCTTGACCGTTTCCCGAATTTGTGTCTTTATTAAAACGGCATGGTTTCCGACATTTTGTGGCTTCGTCTCAGTAAGTTTTATGAAACCAGCACCATTGGAGGTTTTCCACCCTGTTAGATTTAGTTTTGAGGCTGCCACGAGAGTTGCTGCGATGCGTTAAGACGCGTTTCTGTGGAGTTCTACGTGAACTAGTACTTGGAGATCGTAGCAACTGTTTCACAAAGTTGCACAGCTTGATCACCTCAGAATCCTGGCTCTCTGGTTTGCCGCAGACAGAATATACGTTGGAGACTGGTCTGCTGGAAATCTGTAGTATTTTGTCTGCCGATACTGCCAGGTCATCGAGTGGGACTTACTGCAGTGTCACCAACACGGTTTGCACCGGTTGTGGTAGTTTTTAGAGAAATAGTTGTAGCGGACAGAATCCAATAATCTTGGCCTGAACGCAGGAAGTGACTAGGCGGTGCCAACTGACGTGAATCTGACTAGTTCCTGCCTTCTACTGTATAGCTTTCTAACTTCCGCGAGTGACGCACAGTCAAGGGTTGGATCAAAATATCAAAACGCGGTTTGTAGTAATATAATAGTAGATTCGTAACAAAATCTGTGGTACCATCAAAGCAACAATAAGTTACGTCGAAATTACAAGAGCACCTCAACAGTTCCGTTGGGTAACTATACGGTCCAAAGCGTTCTCGAGTGCAAATACGTACTACACGGTAAAAACTGGTTAAACAAATACGACTGTTAAGTGCCTGTCGGTCAATAAGAATATTCCCGACAAAAGGGATCAAACCTCTGCCTATCAGAATCAAATCAACAAACAAACGTTCCCAGCAGACGGTCAAAAGACAAACAGTCAAATCACAGCACAACCGTAGGTTGAAACAAAACAAAATGTCGGGCGCAGTAAAACAATATCACCTTGTCAACAGTCCAGCGTCACATAATAGGAAAGTGAAACATTCACAATAAGTCTCAAACATACAAAGGTAAATACTGAGTGTAAAGTCAAATAAGACAGTCAAATAAGCAAATAACATTACGCCGGCTAGTGTCAAAGGTACGCCATCCATAACGAGGGTAAAAACATTGAAATAGATGTCAATACAATCAAATAAGGGCGATCGGGGGGGATTTTCAGATCAACTTTCCGTTACAATAGTTCTCGGAGGCGGCCATCGTCGAATATTTGTGCACCCATAGCTTCTCTCATGCGTGCAAGGACTTAAGTAGCTGAGTGGCTGCCTAACTCGATGTTACGAGGTAATTCGTCTAGGCGCTGGCGATCTGTCAGATCGCTTTTCTTCAACAGTGCGGCCTTAAGAAGTGCGTAAGTATCACTTACTTCAGGATTAAACATGTGTACCGTAACATGTTTGTTTAATTCCATCATGGTGAACGTGTGACAGGAAGAAACCGAGAATGAGGATCTGAGACACCCTGTTCTCGAAAATCGACCTCGGCATACAGAAACCATGTTTCTGCATTGTCTGGCTAGTTTGGCACGAGTTGGATCGTGTTCGCAGTCGGCTTAATACGAATAAGCTTGGGGGTGTGGTCGGACATGAGAAGGTGTAGTGAATGATATAAATGCTATCGAAATGAAGACAATAAACAAATATAAAATGGAACAGGCTCACCAATTCAACATTTGTTATTGGTCGGGATGTGGTCACTTTGGGATATTTGATCACGGGCTCACCAATTTAGGAATTGTCCTGGTGCGAACTTGACGGACGCAAAGACCAATCACTAATTATTCGGACTTGTTATATACCCACGAATGTGAGACCAAGGAAGAGTACAAGAGCGTAGTCGGATGGAATAGTATATTTGGATGGTTGTGCCAAGATACCGATGCGTTCCAACTAACTGGCCAGAGAGTCAGTTACGAGCAGTGCAACGTAACACGACATCGTGCCAAATGGCGAGGATGCTTGACCGGGTGCCTTCAGTTTAGCGAGTCCAGTTAAACTATCAAGGTCAGCATCAATGTTGAATCTCTCCAAACCCTAAGCTATTGATTTTGAGGAAGTGTGTAACACTACAGCCTAATTATAATTCGCCGAAGACCCATAAAAATTCCAGGTCTTGAAAGAAGAGGATGGTGCAATTGTCTGTTACATTCAGGTTCCTTCAGAGTGGAAATTGTTTATTGGAATCTTGTAGTCAACCTTGAGTGTGAACTGTGAAAGCGCGTCTTAAGGAACGCTTCACGTGAATTTAAGGTTGGAATTAAAGGTTACTCTAACAACTGGTGAGACAACCAACCACGTCCTTCTATTCTATGTAAAACTGTCTTCACATCAAGAATACCCCAAACCAACTGGTTATTTTGGCAGTTGTTAGAGTAACCTTTGTAGTTGTTCGATTTTTAATCTTTCACCTAAATTTCAGTAACTGTTGAATGTATTGACACTCATATTCGCTATTGAAACCTTTTAAACACTTCTATAGTCGTCTTAAACCGTATTCTTCAGTTCCATTTGCATGTAGTCAACCGCTGAAACTTCTGATAGCGTTGTCATTACAGAAACTGTATGTTTTGGCAAGTCTAAGAAACCAAAACTCTGTGTGCGTTGCATGCATCTGATGTGATAGCTGTAGGGCACTCCCCGAATCTTCAGGTTGAAGTGGTTGGAAAAATAGTCCTTTTTGATAAATCTGCGTAATGTAGGCTAATGGTTATCTGAGAAATATGATATATTTGCGCGTGCAGTTCGAACGACCTGGTCACATTTAACTGTCAAGGCAATTTATTTTAAAGGTGGATAGTAAGTATAATAAGGCGAATTACGGTAATTCAAAGGATAATATGGAGTAGTAGTACATTGTCACACCTGTATTAACATTTATTTCTAAGGAAGGTGTAAATTGTTTTGTATAAATTGTTTTTGAATACACGAAGGGGAGTTGAATTTTCATATGATTAATTCTTTAATAAACCTAAGTATGCGCTCTTCTAACAGGTCCTATATAATGGTCTAAAAGGTGTTTTTGGGTCAGTCCTGTGACCTGTTTCTATAATGTGTTCACCTATGGACATTGACATCTTTCTACCCCTATGTCCACCTGACTATTTGAATGTGATTGTCTTTCCAACCACATAGAAATGTTCTTCATCCTTGGCTTCATAGTTCGATTACTCATCCCTATGTGTCATCGCACACATACAAACTGGTATACACAGTGGGATGGCACGTAATTATATGTGTTGTGAGGTTTATTTTGAAGCATTTGTTTCCTTTTCTCTATACTACTGTCCATTTGCATGGTATCCTTTAATTTTTGAATTAGACCTAGGTCTTAAAATTGTACTTGGATTCCGCATGATGTAAACGTCCTTCTTCAGGATAGATTACTGAGGGTTTTGCAACGTTGAGACGTTTTCATACCGATTGATTAACTGCAGTGAATATGCATTCTTCACTCCTGTTTCTGTTAAAAGCGTATTTCCCCCCCCCCCCCCCAATGTTTCCTTTATGCAGATACATCTGATCCTTAGTAAGCATTTTACTTAACCCCTTTTTTACTGTATTTTTTGTGTATCTCAAGTAAACCATATAAGTTTAGGTGTTTATACCCTATGAGTTTTAATGGATGTTTCTTTTTTGTTAGTAAAATTCATGTTAAGAAGTCTACTCATAGCAACACCAGATCCCCAGTCCTTTCATTGGGTTGCAATACTGGAGGTTAGGATGCTTTTATGTTTGGAACCAGAGCTACTGACGTCATGTGCGATATATACAAATCTAGTTCTCACCCAGCTTTGATTTTCAGAGGCATTTTGGACAAGTGAACTTAGTTGACTATAAAGACATTCAGACTTAGCATTAATTGCCAATTTGGAAATTTTTGTATGGGGGATAAAAAAGTTAAATCTAAGAAGCACTGTTTCTTTACCTATAACAGACAGCTAAACAGGTGAGAGACTAGTCACATATTCATCTAAAATGGTCGAAAAAGGGTCCATATCCTTATCATTCGAAAGAGGTTTCGATAATTTCGGAATCAGATTTCCCTCTGTCCTTTTGGTGACTGAATTCCAAAGATTAATCAGTTTGATGTGATATATGAGTGGATTCTCTGACAACATAAATAAGGTTTGGGTTTGAATTTCCACTAATTTATTCAACTTTTCACTGCAGCTATCTATATGAGATGTAGAAAGGCGAATAAATGAAACGTTAGGTTGTAGTTTACTAGAATGACGTGATTTATACAACTATCTTGGTAACCTATGGTTCGAAATACAAGATTTTTAAAAATCCACTTTCACCTCTTTAGATGTAGTTCTATACGTATGGTTAACGAGTTCATCTAGCCTGTTAATAGTGTGGCGGCAGTCTTCTTTTCATGAGTCCGAAATCATCTTTTTGATGAAGTTCCCTTACTCCACTTTATTTCATCTTTCACCTTTAATGCTACTCAAAAAACAAGTTAGACCATTTAAAGTTGAAAAGACTGGGAAAGTTTACTAAATTTTGAGAAAGTACGCAGTTCTGCATATTTTGGCGAAATTGTAGAGAAGCACACCGGCTAAGATAGGAATTAATTTCCCCCTTCTCCCATTATCCGCTCGAATTGTGTGACTGAAAAGTTTGGCACACGAAAAAACTCGCATATTTCTTGAATATGTTTAAAAATTACGTAAGTTGCAAATCCGATTTCCCCTGAGCTTATGCCGTATAAGATCCTTTCTCTTGGAAAAGCATTGTCTGAGAGTTCGTTAAATCACATAAGTGCAGAATAAGGTATTTTGCTCATATGTTTTAGCATAGCAGCAAATAAAACATTCCTAATCAGTATAAAATTCTGAAGGAGCAGATGTAAATAGTAACGGATACCAAACGGCTAGATACGTCTTCAAATTATTCCTAACTTGACCACGTTTTCTAGTCAGTATTTTGGTGTATGTCATTTATGACTGTCTTTTCTTTTTACGTAACAAAACAGTTATTTCAGTGAATTCATACCATTCTGAAGTAATACTGCTTCCGTCATTATCCTGCAGTCAATTTTTTTAAAACTGGTTTCAAATTTCGAGTATTTTAAAATATTGTAATATACTCATGTCCTTAAGTTGACATAAATAAACCAACTAGAGAGGGAACACGCATCCCTAGTACATACTTCAAATAGAACACATTTTTTATGCATTGCGTTTACTATTTCCACGTGACCTGCATCTTTCTTACATTGTTATTGTGTAAGGTTTAACACAAAAATGTTACCTGGTTAAGTTTATCGATTTTCTATTGATAGGATTGTCAGTAGACTGATCCATTTATTTTAGCATAGCTAAGTGAGAGTTTAAAGAAATATTAATGATGAGTAACCATAGCACCAATTAATCTTCAATTGCAGCCCACATGTTCGTCGTAAATGTGCATGCTTATGTTCACCATGGTCATTCGCGTTTTGGCCAGGCAGTTTTTGAGTCATTACAGTGCATACTTTTAGCATACACGTGCCAATCATGTGAAAATGTGTGTGGTACCTTCTGAAATTTCCGAAAATAAGCCGTTTTGTCAACTTACCTATACATGTTAAACTTTGGTCCTTACAAGGGAACCACAAGTCATTTTATCTCCTCTGTGCTCAAAACACTTGGAGTATAATTTTCACTCTGTTTCATGAGAAATTTTTGTGCGATCGATGGACCTAAGAGTAGGTACCAAATCATATGCGTAACCATATTCAAACGAAGCAAAAACAAACTAGACACATTAGTGCGCACAATGTTTTCTTCTCCAATATCAAGGATTTACTTGGCACAATGAGACTCATAAAATGGATCTTACCACTGCAGTTAGACGAAGTGGAATAACTGCAGTATAAAGGTCGTTCACCGAGTTTACCTACCTGAGGGTTTTTAAAGGAAGCAACAAACTATTAGAAGGAAGTTGTACGAATTTAGAGATATGAGTGTTGGGTTCATGTAAGCTAATTAGTATCGTCAGATGGTCACAGTATTATTTGTGGAATAATTACAGAAGTTTATAAGACATCGAAATGTAGGTTAAATTAAAAAAAAGTGGGACTGCATGATGAATAAAAAGTTGCTCATGGAAGCAATTATTGTGATAATCCAGGATGCCTAGCCAATAAGCTTGACCAAATTATGTTGCCTGGAGGCCAAATTCAGCGGATTTTTAGTATTTGTGTGCACACATGACATTTCTGTTGGTTTTCCCCGTTCTTTGCTGATACGTTATTACAGTCATATTGGTTGTTCTTGTAAGTGCTACTGTAAAAGCAGATATTTATATTTGTTTGATTAAAAATCCTTTAAACTATTTGAGAATAGCTTGGAGTTTGAGGATTGTATGAATATGCAGATTATAATCGGTTTTTTCCTTGTGTGAGAATTGGAATCTTAGCTAGTACGAATTCCAGTTATGATGCTATGTTATTCTCCATTACGAAGTTAGTACTGTTATTTCGTTTAAATGTCAATATGAATTAAAGCAAATAAACGAGAGAAAAAGGATAATCTCAGATTGATTACTATTGTCACTTTGGTCCAATAACTTGGTAAGTTAAAGTTGTTTCTTGCATACGACAGTAACAGTCTCTTAAGCTTTGCTTTAGACCAAAACACCACTTTCATGTTGATCCTTTATCTATTATTTCTCCTTATGGGTTTCTAAAAGGTGAAGAAATACTGTAGGGTAATAATTTCTATAATCTTTTACTGGAGCAAAACCAAAAGTGTATTAAACCACTCACCAGTGGATGTTATTTCGCAACCTTCAATTTATTATCTTCAACATTCTTGTCGCTAAATTACATTGGCATTCCATCTAACCATTCTATCTTCTGAAAGCAGTATTGTAACTGACTACAGTACGTAAAACGAGACTCAATTTTAGTTCTTTATTTGCACCATTTCTGGAAGGAATGGAAAGTACCTGGCGATTGGAAGAAGGGTTACCTTGTCAAACTCCCGAAAAAGGGAGACCTCAGTATTTGCAAAAACTGGCGTGAAATCACTTTCCTATCCACCCAGAGCAAGCAAAATATTAAGCCGCATCATCCTGGAGAGGCTAAAGGATGCACTGGATTCAAAACTACGACCGGAACAGGCAGGCTTCAGGAAGTACAAATCATGTGCGGACCAAATTGCAAAGCTTCGCATCATCATATGACAGAGTATAGAATGGCAGTCGACTCTCTACCTCAACTTCATCGACTTTGAGGTCTTCGATAGCGTCGACCGAGAAGTAATTTGGCAGGCAGCTGCTTCAATACTACGGAATACCGCAAACCTTTATCAGCCTCATTCAACAACTACATGAAGATGCCACATGCCAAGTAATTCACAATGAGAAGCTCAGTGATGATTTTGAAGTGAAGACAGGAGTGAAACAAGGCTGTCTACTATCCCCATGATATTCCTTATTGTGGTGGACTGGATCATGCAACAAACAGTGAGGAGTGAGAAGAGGGGATACGCTGGCTGGACTGCGGAAAAGAACCTAGAAGACTTGGATTTCGCCGATGACTTGTGTCTGATGTCGCACAAACTTGAAGATCTGCAGGCAAAAACTAACAAGTTAATAGAAGAGGAAGCGAAGACGGGATTTCAGGTGAATATAGAGAAGACAGAGGTGATGAAGACATCCAACCAACAACAAACTCCAATCACCATCAGCGGGAGAAACTTAAAGGAAGTAAACCTCCTTCACTTATCTAGGAAGCACTGTTTCAACTACAGGCGGCACAGGCACAGACGAGGATGTCAAAGTCAGAATCGGAAAAGCAAGACAGGCGTTCATTAGCCTGAAACCAGTGTGGAGATCTTCTGCACTCAGCATGTGGAACAAGATACGGATTTTCAACACCAACTTCAGTCAAGTCAGTGCTTCTGTGTGGTCAGAGACATGGCGCGTTACGAAAGGGATTTCCAATAAACTACAGACATTCATCAACAACTGCTTACGCTCGCTACTGAAGATCAGATGGCCAGAGTAATAAGAATAAGCAACAGGGAGCTCTGGGAACGAACCAACCAAGAAGCTATCGCTCAACAAATATGCAGTGGAAGGAGGCGAGATGGATTGGGCATACACTGAGAAGGCCGACTGGGGACATCATGCGTCAGGCCCTCGAGTGGAATCCCCATGGGAAGCGACGAGTTGGACGTCCGAGGGTGACATGGAGGAGGTCGTGCGAGGAGGAAATGAGAGCTTCTGGGCTGTCATGGAGCCAGGTTCAAAAGATTTCAGAGAAGAGAGTGCACTGGGGACGTGCTACTGAAGCCTTATGTTCCATTAGGAACCCAAGGGACAAATAATAATATATTTGCACGATTTCGTTTTTCTTCTCTTTTGGCAAATGACTGTTTTCCCGACCAGTTGCTATAAAAAGGTGGTTTCACTAATCAAAGGTTGTGGTGATATCGCATAGATATCCTTCTGTATGTCGATATCAAAATTAATTTCTGTACTAATTTTTTTGCTCTCTGTAGGAGGCTTACAGTCGATGTCCTTTTTCGTGTCATCCACGCTATCATTATTGAGTGCTCAGGCGATTGAAAGTAATAAAGGTCGTGGTAAGCCTTCTGGTTACTAACGAAATACAGACTTGAAAAGTGAGTAAATGGCTATCAAGTAGCGTTACATAAAATGGACAGCCTTATTTGGGTCTTTGTATCACTTGAAAATAAGGTGCATACAATTTTGCGTCTCACCGATGTGCAGTCTCTAAAAGTTAGTTTTCTGTAGACTTGAATCTCGGACAAAGGTCTGGTGGAGTTTCTGCTTCAGGACACACTCACCTACAGTAATCGGAGACAAGATTTTGAAAAGCAAAGGTGTCTTGTCGCTGACTTCATTAAACGCTTAGTTTCATTTTGATACACTAAGTAAACGATACTGGTAATGAACACTTAGTCCAAGAAAGTAAATTAGCCAACAGCATAAACCTGCGTAAAATGTGGTAATTATCGTAAAAAGTTTCATATACGGACTACCACCAACCTCACCGTGTCGTGCATACTAAAGTATAATTATGACATATTGCTGCGAGGATCGTTAGTTTGGTAGTTTGGTCCGTGTAGCGACTATGGTTTTAGTGACTAAGGTTTACCAAACGGTTAGACGGCAACTGAAAACAATTTATAGGAATCAGAATCAGTTACAGTTGTCCGGTGGGTTTGTTCTAGACGAAATAAATCATTGCTATCCAATCAAGGTTTGCTACTAAAAAGCCACACTATTCTATCAAGCAATCTACTTCGTATCTAGAAAGGTCTTATCTTTGACCGGAAAACATCGAAAATTGGTCGTCTATGGAAGTAGGGCCTTGTAAATCAAGTGTTCTGCTCAATATGTCGTACCTGAACTGAAAAAATTTGAAAAATTCAGTAATGTCTCAAACAATACTAGATTATAGTCTTTTGATTCGGAACTTGTTTTATTTATCCCTTATTAGTCATGGCCATAACATGACAGATAACTAAGCTACCCTGCTACCTCAATGAAAACTAGCAGAACTCTGTTTATGATTACTTCGCAACTTTAATTGATTGTCTACATTCATGTTTGCATTAGTCTGCGAACGATACGTAGTTTGATAATACCTGGTTATTCAACCCTGGTTAGATGGAATGGTGCTCTCACACCTGCTAATCGCTGATTTAAGGTTATTTACCCAAGCTGTTGACCTACAGCTTCAATTGAGATTGGCGTACAAGTTCTTACGCTAATGAAATTGTTTGATTTTTGTCCACGTTATCAAAACTGCATTTCATTTTAGGTAGTAAGTAATAGTTTACTGTTTGTCACTCTGTTAAACCAGTCTTAATTTATGTAGTGGAACTCACGAGTTTCCGGCTGTAAAGACATCCCATCTTTAATACTAGAACTAATTTTGATCCTTCCCTTTCTTAAAGCTCTATATTTGTAAGCATGTGTGAAGTCCAACCACAACAAACAGATATTGCTCTTGTTCTTGCTTGCCATGATGGTAATTTCGACGAAGTCAAAAGGTTGGTTGAAGAAAAAAATGCAGATATATGCTACCAGGTTAGTTTTTAATCCAGTTTGGCATTCGGCCTAAGATAAATAGCCATTTTTCTTTTGCTGTAGTTTCATCTTAATACTTTTATAAGTTAGCATGCATCTTGGTAAAAAAGAAGGGGCTACTTTAACTTTTCATCTGCAAAATCCATGCTCTCAACTTCATTTTGAGCTTATTGTAAGTTCATCGAAAGCTGATAAGTGATTACCACCCATAGTTATGTGAACTCATTGAAATCCCAGGTTGTGGCAGCCACTGTGGTAAAAGATGGATCATAAAAGTTTCTCTCCATGGTAATTGTCAAACTCATTTAGGATCACAAATTCAAAACAGGTGCACTTACCTGCCAATGGTAAATTTGTAATATTGCACATAACAGCTTGTATGTGAAACGCCTTTTTCTATCAATTTGTCGTGTAGCTACCTTTACATCATCCTTGACAGAAACATAATTAAAGGACTTAGAAAATAAGACAAATGGGTCAAGTTGAGAAGTGAGCCGTTGTTAAGTAGTGCATCATCCTTTCCTAGAGCAAGTGAGAACATAAAACTGCCAAACAATGCGTGTGCTATCTAACCATGTGTTTTACCAACCATAATGAATTATCTGATTTTGAGCAATGAAATATTATTATTATTATTATTATTTATTATTAGTCCCTTGGGTTCCTAGTGGAACATAGGGCTTCAGTAGCACGTCCCCAGTGAACTCTGTTCTCTGAGATCTTTTGAACCTGGCTCCATGACAGCCCAGAAGCTCTCATTTCCTCCTCGCACGACCTCCTCCATGTCACCCTCGGACGTCCAACTCGTCGCTTCCCATGGGGATTCCACTCGAGGGCCTGACGCATGATGTCCCCAGTCGGCCTTCTCAGTGTATGCCCAATCCATCTCCGCCTCCTTCCACTGCATATTTGTTGAGCGATAGCTTCTTGGTTGGTTCGTTCCCAGAGCTCCCTGTTGCTTATTCTTATTACTCTGGCCATCTGATCTTCAGTAGCGAGCGTAAGCAGTTGTTGATGAATGTCTGTAGTTTATTGGAAATCCCTTCGTAACGCGCCATGTCTCTGAACCACACAGAAGCACTGACTTGACTGAAGTTGGTGTTGAAAATCCGTATCTTGTTCCACATGCTGAGTGCAGAAGATCTCCACACTGGTTTCAGGCTAATGAACGCCTGTCTTGCTTTTCCGATTCTGACTTTGACATCCTCGTCTGTGCCTGTGCCGCCTGTAGTTGAAACAGTGCTTCCTAGATAAGTGAAGGAGGTTACTTCCTTTAAGTTTCTCCCGCTGATGGTGATTGGAGTTTGTTGTTGGTTGGATGTCTTCATCACCTCTGTCTTCTCTATATTCACCTGAAATCCCGTCTTCGCTTCCTCTTCTATTAACTTGTTAGTTTTTGCCTGCAGATCTTCAAGTTTGTGCGACATCAGACACAAGTCATCGGCGAAATCCAAGTCTTCTAGGTTCTTTTCCGCAGTCCAGCCAGCGTATCCCCCTCTTCTCACTCCTCACTGTTTGTTGCATGATCCAGTCCACCACAATAAGGAATATCATGGGGGATAGTAGACAGCCTTGTTTCACTCCTGTCTTCACTTCAAAATCATCACTGAGCTTCTCATTGTGAATTACTTGGCATGTGGCATCTTCATGTAGTTGTGAATGAGGCTGATAAAGGTTTGCGGTATTCCGTAGTAGTGAAGCAGTTTCCAAATTACTTCTCGGAGCAATGAAATACGCTGACTATAACTTCTTGAAACAGTCTTTGCTCCGGTGGTACGTATGTTAATCCCGACCAATAGGTGCTAAATTGACGTGCTAGTTTAATTACATGACATAATGACCCGATGGGCTATTCTGGTTGGAACGCCTTTCGTTTGAGTTCCTATCGTGCCAGAAAGATCTATTGGATGATGATAAGACAAAAAGCAGTTGCCTTAGTTGTGTAAATTGCTACGTCATAATAGGGATCCAGGACGTAATCGTATTCCTTGCCCGATACAGCTGTGACATCAGTAATATGTTTCCCACCATGCTGATGCTGCTGCTTTTCCTCTAGCAAGAAGAGGATTACGAAAGGCTCCCGCTAAAACGCACACTGTTTTGAGGTTTTCTAGTGTCGGCGGTATTTTCCGTAGCCACATGGAAAACAATCAAATCTGAAATACTATTTCCTCAAAAAACTGTACGGGATTGATTCAAACAGATGTCTGTGGTTACGCCCTACTACTTACTACTGATCTAATTTATGTTTCTGGTCCATCAAGAAGTGACCTTCCACGGTGCTAGCAGCTAGGAAGTGTCAACCACCATCAATTTTGTCAGCAAACAAGTTCCCTCAGATCATAAAGCCTATACATCTTTGCCTTTTAATCTAGGTTAATATTCGTGCATTGTCTTTAATTTCTCTTAGCTCTGAAGCTCTCGATGACAGATTGAGTTCATGTGGCAGCGTCCCTGATCTTCTGGAACGGTGGTCCAAACCATCCATCCCAATCAATGCAGGACCAGGCATTACTGCATAACGGTCTGAGTTGCCACAGCTCATATGAGTGCATCAAGTAAAAAGGCAGTGAGGCACAAGATGAAGATAAGAAAATTCAGTCAAAAGAAATCGAAAGTACTAAAAGAGAGAAAGGAAGAATGAGAAAATGGTGGGATTCGGTAGAGCGTCGTAAAGATGAGGATAATGTGTGTGTATACATCTGCACCACTGACATCGGTTCTGAGCCACATCACCTAGAGTCTCTAACCACTGGTTTCTCTTGTCCCGCGGACCCCAACCACCTAGTCTTCATCGTCCTGCAACAGTCAGAGACTTCACAAATTGGTGCCATGTTTTAGTGTGGCCACCTCTAGCCTTTTTCTAGCCTGAACCTACTTCAGCCAACATTGTGTGACGAGGCAGACGGCGACTAGGGATACGTAACACATGTCCCATCCATCTCAGTCGATGAAGGTTCACAACCGTGCCAACTGACTTACCTCTTCTCCCTAAAACTCTGCACCTGACACCTGCGTTACTCACATGGTGACACCACGGAATACGGCCTACACTACGAAGGTAACGGTGGTCAAACACTTGAAGCCTTCTCATGTCCTCCACTTTCAATGGCCATGTTTCACAGTCATACAGTAGAACAGAGCGGACTGTTGTGCAGTACACGCGACCCTTAATAGACAAACGAATATCATGGCGGCGCCATAGGTGGCATAAGTTGGCAAAAGCCAGTCGAGCCTTTTGTATTCGTGCAGAGATTTCATCAGCCAATGAGCCACTAGGGCTAATCCTACTTCCCAGGTAAGTGAAGTGGTCAACACACTCAGCCACTACACTCTCTATTGTTAGTCGAGGCACCGTTGAAGACCAGTTCTGGAGCAACAGTTTGCATTTAGGTGGTGAGAGACTCATCCCAAACATTCTCAAATTTCCACTCAAAGTGTTCAGAAGACTCTGCATCTTGTCAGCGTCTTCACCTAACAGGACTATGTCATCTGCATATTCTAGGTCTAATGAAAATTCTCCTGTGATTAGGTCAACGTCTGTGTAATCAGGTGACGAGAGGGGGACCTCCTTGAGAATATCTATGATAAAATTGAATAAGAATGGAGAGAGTGGGCATCGCACCATAGGTTATAACACACCCACAAGTGTTCGAGTAGAGAGCCTTCAATAAGGTGATGCACTTACTCGGCATGCCTTTTAGTGAGAGACATTGCCATAAGGTTTCTCAGTAAACGGAGTCGAATGCCGCCTTCAGGTCGAGAAATACAGCTATTGTCGGGCGTCGGTAAGCGTGTTTATGTTCTAGGACCTGGTGCAGTGTGAATATTTGGTAACTACACCCGCGACCGGGTCTAAAGCCTGCCTAGTTTTCTCGAGCTTGCTGTTTCCGAGCTCCACTCAGACGTCAAGAAATAATAGAACCTAGGATCTTAGACACTATGTTTGTCAGGCTGATTCCTGTGGTTATCAGAAGAGAACTTCTCGCCTTTCTTGAAGAATAATCAGTGATTTAGACCAGTCAGGCGAGATCGTATTTGATTCCACATACTGGCTAACTCTACAATTAACCTGACCTTGAGCACCTTATCACCATCCTTGTATACCTCTGGAGTTAGTCCGTCTGGTTCTGCTGCCCTTCCTAGTTTCAAGTTACCTACCGCTTTCTCAACTTCTTCAAGTGTTGGGGGACCTATTTCTATGTCCCATTCAGGATCCTACTGGGTAACAGGCAACGCAATGGGAGCTGGAGGTCAGTTAAACTGATCCTCGAAGTGTTCTGCCCATCATTCCAGTCGTCTCCCCTGCGAGTAAATCGCAGACCCATCCTTTTCCGTTATGGTCTCACTAACCGTTATTAACCTTTTCCCCCAGTTTCCTTAATAAGTCTAAATAGCTGGTTACTGTTACGAATCACCGCTGCGTTTTCCATCTCTTTAGCCTTCACTGCCCACCACTGTTCGCAGTCGTTGCGTAGACTTTTTCTCAATCTACTTTAAAGTTGTGCTCGCTCTTCATTGTACTCAGAGCCTGATTGGATGCGTTCACGTGCACCCATTAGTTCGGAAGAAGCTGCTGATATCCACTGGCTCTTTTTAGCCACTCTTTCGGGGTCGGTTACAGTCTTCAGCGCTGCTTTTACAGCAGACTGGAGATAGCACCAAGCTTCTTCTGGATGAGTGATAGTCTTCGGTCCCGATAACTACCTAGCCAACTTCTCACTGAACACGGCTTTGGTGTTTTCGTTTTCCAGCAGCACTCGTAGTGGTTTTGTGGCCAAATTTTTTCTACGTTCATTGAGACGCAGGCATATACGTGCTCGGACCAGCGCATGATCGCTGTCCAAACACGTACTCCAGAAGGAGCGGCAGTCTTCCACCGATCCTCTCCAGAGATGACTAATAGCAATGTGGTCTATCTGTGTCCATCGCTGAGTTGAGCTCGGTGGACGCCAGGTCAGACAGTGCCTTTCTTTATGTCTGAAATTGGTGCTGGCTAAAAATAAGTGGTTATCTGAGCATAGTTGTAATAGGCGATCACCGTTATCTGTAGGTTCAGCTGGGATTTCGAAAGTGCCACCTAAGTACCTTTCTGCCTCACTCGGTCTACCCACCTGTGCATTGAAGTCACCTGCAACAACCACCACGTCCGAACTTTTGGCTTTCGAGAGGAGGCTAGACAGTTTACGATAGAACTCGTCCTTCACTTCATCTGAACTACAGTCAGTGGGTGCGTAAGCAGAGATTACAAAAAGACAGCGGCTAATTTAATGGTGCCGTTCACCCGAAAAGTGCAGAGGCGACTATCAACTGGGATCCAGTCTAGTAGCAAGCTCTCTGTCCCAGTGCTTAGTGCTATACCTACACGTGGAAGACCCCGAGATCTAGCCATCGAATCTCCAGAAGCTCGAAGGGTGAATTTTGCGGATTCACCAGATCGGCCAGGAGAGGTTAGGTGAATAACCGCACTTGGGTCCTGTATACGAGTCTCACAACACACAGCACACATCCATGGCCTGAGTTTCTAGAGTCTTTGCCAACGAAGCCTGTTGACCAATTTGACGGGGGGTGCGGACATTGAAGGTCGTGATGTGTAATATGGGGCGTAGTTTAAGGAGACCAGTGATGCTGTTCTGTGGATTCAGATCGTTGTCAAAGGCTTCAGAGCTAGGAGAAATTGAAGATGATGTAGTATCGTTAATTGAGAGACGTGAAGGGAGATTAGAAGGTGGATAGCAGTCTGAAAAAAACTTGAGTGCTGATCGAGTTGGGAGGGCGGTTGACACTTCCTGGCTGCGCACATCGTGGGAGGTTGTTTCTTCTTAAGGTACCTAAAAGAGATTTATGTGACCGCAGAGCCCATTGGGCATCTGATTGAGGCCTGTCATAGGCAGACTTTTGTGTATAGTTGTTTTGAGTTTTTATTGTTTTGGGGCCGGATGGTTGAAAAAGAAATGACAAATAAACCAACACCACCAGCCTGGCAGACCCTGGGATATAGTGGAGTGTATTATTTTTGGAGCCGTCCTTTTCTAACTTACCCTCCCTACACTGAGGAGGCAGCATCAGCAAGGCACTGCTGGTCATTATTCGGGAATACCTTACTGCTGCCACACCCCATCCCGCTAGCACCGATACGACTTCGCCCTCAGTACCCTATTATAGTGTAGTAATTTACGCTATAACGGTAACTGCTTTTCGTCTTACCACTATTCAGCAGACCTTTCTGCTATGGTAAGACTTCGGGGGAACAAGTGTTTCACCAGTTTAACTCGTAGAGTCATTGTGATATGCAAGTCCGACCACCACGTCGAGGTAGCAGCTATCAGTCGAAAGCCAAACAAAGCTCCCTTCCAAATTTCATGTAACCGTGCAGTCTTTGGGAGAGCTATTATTCGGATTGACTTGAACTGCTGTTGTGCAACAAGGATGCTCGCAGTCACCGTTCCTGTTCACTTTAGTTACAGATGCACTATTGGACATAAACTTACATACGTCTGGTTTCACAGGGATCAATCTAATCCCTGGAGGCCACATGGTTGATTTGGAGTATGCAGACGATATTGTCCTGTTGGATGAAGATGCTGACAACGATAAGTAGTGAAGTCGTGGAATGTGCCGACCACTTCACTTCCCTGGGGAGTTACATCTGCCCGAACGGTTCGATTGCTGACGAAATATCAGCTCGCATACAGAAGGCCTGTTCGGCATTTGCCAGCTTGTGGCGACGGCGAGATATTCGACTATTTGTCAAAGGACAAGTATATTGCACTGGAGTTGGTTCTGTCCTGTTATCTCGTGTGAGACATGGCCGTTAAAGGTAGAAGACATGAAGTGTTTGTAGGGTTTTCATCATTGGTGTCTTAGTAGCACTGCTCGCGTTTGGTGGAATCACCGTGTGAGCATTGTTGAGAACGGGCGAAGAGTACCAGGTAAGATGGGCATGTCAATTGATGGGGTTATTAACCTTCATCATCTGAGATAGTTTGGACATTTGTTGCGCTTCGGAGCCGCCACTTACCTCGATGTCAAAAGCTAGAAAAATTTGAGTAAAGTTGAAGGAAGGCTGATGATTACCAGACTGACGTCACACCAATCCACCAAGTCTCTGATTATCAGTCTTAGTCGTGTGGGCAGATGTGGACTGGCCATTTGGGGTCCTTGAGTTGATAGGAATGAGTTGTCGAGGACCTTCTGTGACATGGCTGTATTCACTTTCTGACAAATATAGCTCTAATATTTGCACTAACCGATGTCTTCATATTGTGTATTGAAACACACTACTTTGTCTACTTGATATGACTTGTTCTATCGACCTGTTCTCTGTATACTTTGAAGTGCTGCAAATGGAACCGAAGCACTTTAATGCTAGGTTACACGTTGACTTTGTCTGTCTGTCTGTCTTCACTCATGCATGGGCCAACATGCCAGAGTTATGAATTACAAAATTTATTCGATTTGATGGATAGTGTGGATATTGAAAACTTTACTGATATGGTATGGAGTGAGGTTTCGGGAGACCAGAGGTATTGTTCTCTGAACCCGTATCGTTATCAAGAGCTGCAGAACTGGAAGGGATTAAAGATTATGTTGAGATATTAGCTAAAAGACGTGAAGAAACGCCAGTAGTAAAGGATGTATAAGATGAACAGTGACTTGAGGGAACTTAAGTGCTGACTAAGTTGTGAGAGGTGTTGACACTTCGTGACTGGCTGCTGTCACTATGAAAAGTTCACTCTTTTTGGTGTACGTGAAAAAGGTTTAGTGCATGACCTCAGAGCCCGAAGAACACGATCATGCACGACCTTTTTAAAAGTTTGAGATTTAGGTTTGTTAGTTTTGATTCCCGCCATAAACTTATATCACTGGGATCAGTATGCCATGGCGTAGTAGGGAGTATGCTATTTTTAGGACCTACCTTTTCTAACTCCTCGCCTTCCCATCGGGAAGTCAACGTTATCTGCGGAAGCACCCTAGTGATGTTACAACGCTGTGCATCATGCAGTACGACTTCACCCTCGGACCCTCTTCATAGCGTAACAATTTGCGATTTAACGGTAACTACTTTTGTTTTGTCACCACTCAACAGACCTTCCTGGTATAGTTGGACGTGAGGGAAAAAGCCTTCCACCGCATAGTTCGTTGGTTCACTGCGATATGCAAGGCCGACCGCGACAATGAGGTAGCTGCCATCGGTCGGTCAATCGCAACTGAGGTGAGGTTAATTGGCTCGAATAGGAAATACGGATGTATACTGTCATAAATCGTATTATTCAACTAGAGAACTGTGTATTTTTGTTTTCCCAAAGAGATATGTTATGAAATCTGGGCTCCAGGAAGTATGCACAAAATTACCTTTGGCATTTGAAAAAAATGGTTTGTTTTTCAATAATATGCAGCCAAGTCATTGTGAAAAGAAGCGTTCTATCTAGTCGTTTACTTGGACATGCGAGCAAGCGCACGCAGTTCAATTAAAGAGTAGGATGAGATCATGGTTTGGTGTTCTCTAAACTTTAATAATTTTTTTGAGTACGTTTCATCACCAGTCTGGTGAAATTAGTGCTGAGGATTCACCAAGTCGGTTAACGAAACCTCCAGAACAAAATAATCTGGCCTAGGGAACACCTCGATCATCTGCACCGAGTTAAAAACATTTTCCATCGTAGGATGGGATATTTTTCACATACTTATGCAAATAATTGAAACACCAGTGTACAAATCATATCTGCTTATAACAGAAACATTCTTCAACTTAGTTGTAGTTAGACTTGTAGTTTTAATCATTTCCTTCTGACGATTCATATTCCAAACATATGATCCTTCGGTCTAGTTAATCATAATTTCTCTTCACTATTTTACCCAGGATTTTAAAACTGGAATGAGCGTTTTAATGGTTGCTTCGGGTGCTGGCCATACGGATATTGTAAAATATTTACTATCAGAAGGTGCTCCATGGAATGCAGTTGATCGGAATTATTTATGCGCAGGTGATTATGCTGCCAAAAATGGACAACAGGAATGTATTGACGTCTTGATGAGCCATGCTGTAATGTCTGAACTCCTCTTGTCAATGGCAATGGGTAAATCGGATCCAGAAGTTGTACAAAACGTCGATTCCATGAGTTTTACAACTACCGTCAATACTAGTATGGATGGCAAATCAGAGCTTCTTAATGCTTCCTACCTTACTAGTCGACTGGAGTACTCTAATGACGGCAAATGTCTTATTGATACTAATACACATTTGGCTGTAATGATGGATTGGGAAACTCCCATAATGGAGAAGCATGCGGCATGGATTTGTCAAACAGATGTTGCTGATAGACCACCTCCTCGCGTTTTGAATGTTGGTTTCGGTATGGGGATTGTTGACAATGCTATACAAAAGTATTCACCAGATTCACACGTCATAATAGAAGCTCATCCTGAGGTACGTTTGATGTACAGATGATGTTTTTATGTTTTTTCATTTACCTTTTCTTTGCTATCCTTGTTTTACTTACTATTGCCAAAATTTATTCCAACTTTTACAGCACTTCCTTTTTCTCCATTGCGATTTTCCTTTGTTCAATTGACCTTTTTAAATATTTTTAAAATTTTACTTTGTTACTTTGCCAAGTGTTCACCATTGTGATAAACTCTACAGTTTTTCATAGACTGCATTTTTTTATCCTACTAGAGAGTTATTATGTACTAGCACTTCTGAAGTGACCGAGTGGAAGTGACTGGCATAATAATACGAGATACGAGAACAGTACTAACTCAATGAGACACATGGGCTGGATACAAACGGGAAGTAGAGCCACTAGGTCAGAATCTGGGATACTTATTTTCATTCGTCACCTGAGGGACAAAGTTGTTCAATAAGGTTTTCTCTGCCTACACAGTAACATGAAACAAAGTAGAAATCCAAAACTGCTGATAACTCAGATGCTGATTTCAATTTAGACAGCTTCCTATCAACTTCATTATCAGGGATAAGACGGAGGCACATCACAAGAGCCACTTATCGAAATAGGTTATGTACTTTGAAAATGTCAACTGTGAATATATATATATATATATATATATATATATATATATATATATATATATATATATATATATATATATATAAAGGAACAATGCCTATGTGCATATTTATAAGATAGACGATAAAAGTAAATATTGACCTTCACTCTAAAATGTATCAGTTTCATTCGCCAAACTCCACGCCAGCATGTAACGAACGAATACATAGAACAAGTAATAACTCGGCATAAGTATATGAAAGCAGAAAGACTGTAAACAATAAAAAAGTGAAGATGTCCAACTTTAGTGAACGTCAAACAATGAATACATCTGTACCATTGTGATAAGTTTTCAGAACTGACCACAGTGCAGACTAGCCGGTTGGGGTCCGCGGGACAAGAGAAACCAGTGGTTAGAGACTCTAGTGATGTGGCTCAGAACCGATGTCAGTGGTGCAGATGTATACACACACATTATCCTCATCTTTACGACGCTCTACCGAATCCCACCATTTTCTCATTCTTCCTTTCTCTCTTTTAGTACTTTCGATTTCTTTTGACTGAATTTTCTTATCTTCATCTTGTGCCTCACTGCCTTTTTACTTGATGCACTCATATGAGCTGTGGCAACTCGGACCGTTATGCAGTAAAGCCTGGTCTTATGTTCATCGATGATGATCATGATCAGTTTCCAGCGATGTTACCCCGCGCCTCCAACGACTGATTCCTCTCTCACCAAGGACCCCATCTCCTCAGCCAAAACGTCACTATCCGTCTCTCACTAACACATAAACACCTAGTGAATTGGCGTAACGTCAGTCTGGTAATCATCAGCCTTCCTTCAACTTTACTCAAATTTTTCTAGCTTTTGACATCGAGGTAAGTGGCGGCTCCGAAGCGCAACAAATGTCCAAACTATCTCAGATGATGAAGGTTAATAACCCCATCAATTGACATGCCCATCTTACCTGGTACTCTTCGCCCGTTCTCAACAATGCTCACACGGTGATTCCACCAAACGCGAGCAGTGCTACTAAGACACCAATGATGAAAACCCTACAAACACTTCATGTCTTCTACCTTTAACGGCCATGTCTCACACGAGATAACAGGACAGAACCAACTCCAGTGCAATATACTTGTCCTTTGACAAATAGTCGAATATCTCGCCGTCGCCACAAGCTGGCAAATGCCGAACAGGCCTTCTGTATGCGAGCTGATATTTCGTCAGCAATCGAACCGTTCGGGCAGATGTAACTCCCCAGGGAAGTGAAGTGGTCGGCACATTCCACGACTTCACTACTTATCGTTGTCAGCATCTTCATCCAACAGGACAATATCGTCTGCATACTCCAAATCAACCATGTGGCCTCCAGGGATTAGATTGATCCCTGTGAAACCAGACGTATGTAAGTTTATGTCCAATAGTGCATCTGTAACTAAATTGAACAGGAACGGTGACTGCAAGCATCCATATTAGCGCGTAATCGGAGTGCAAACTTGGTATTTCAGGAAGAGGGATGATCTCCCAACTATGACTAATAGCAAAATGATCTGTCTGTGTCCGTCGTTGGTTTGAAGTTGGCGGATCCCATATGAGGCAGTGTCTCTCCTTATGCCTAAGGTCAGTGCTGGCCAGAAACAAGTGGTTGTCGAAACTTAATTGGAAGATACGATCATCGTCTTCGGTATGGGATTCCGTAGATACCTCCTAGGTACCTTTACTTGTGCCTCAGCTTTCCTACTTAGGTTTTAAAGTCACCTGGTATGATGATGATATGTAAAAGTTGTTTTTGTGTAGCGTACTTGGTAGCTCATAGATTTCATCCTCTGCATAATCCGGACTTCAGGCGGTTGAGATTACGAACAGACTTTGTATACCCTCACGATTCTTACTAGTTCTTACAGATCCATGTAGTCGGATACCACATAGACGGCTGTTGACTGGTAACCAGCCAAGAAGTGTGTTTTTCGCTGGGGAAATTAATGCTGTTCTTACACTAGTGTAAGCTCACGAGGTCTAGCCATAGAATCTCTGGGCCTTGGTAAAATGGGCTTAGAAGATTCAGCGCAATGGTCATGTGAGGTCAAGTGAAAATCCACACTCAAGTATTGTGTACCTGTACCAAATCCATGACTCGAGACTCCAGAGATTTGCCTGTTGTTCGATCTGGCATAAGGTTCAGACGTTGAAAGCTTCAATCTGAAGCGGACATTGGCGTTTTAAGTGAATAGGAATAGTATTTCGCTGGCTTAGATTGTTAACAGTGGTCGTAGAATGAGGTCGAGGAAATTGTAAGTGGGTAAATATTCGTATCAGAAAGTGAAAGCAAAGAAGGAAACATGGGTAAGTGGGTAAGTTATGTTTGACTGGGCTTTATACGCTAATGGAAGCGTGCAAGCGGTTGGTACTTCCCATCTGTCCGCATCATGGAAGCTGTTTCACTAGGGTACCTGAAAGAGGAAAATACTTCTGATCACGGAGCCAATGATTCATCTGAATAAGACTTGTTACACAAAGCCTTTTGAGGACTGTTTGTTTGAGATTTGGTAGTTCTAACGCCGGATGGGAAAAGCCCATATCACGGACACCGGAAGACCAAGAGGATGCGAAGCATATTGTTTTTAGTCTTTCTTTTCTGAGCCCCGATCCTTACCTATTGAGAAGACAGCATCAACATGGCACTGCTGGTCATCCGCAGGAAACACCCTACTGCTATCATCGGGTCCCAATCACATCGTAGTACTTTACACTGCGACACCAACTGCTTTGTCTTACCACTATCCAACTGACCTTTCTGACATGCTAAGACGTCGAGGGAACAAGCGTTTCAGACAGTATAGCTGATTGTAATACGGAAGCCCGACCACCGTCTAGGTACCAGCTTTCGGCCGAGATTGATCACTTGGTGAAACATTTTGTTTACGATGCAGAAATGTGTGAGGTACTAAGCGAAGGAGACAAACCAAATAATTTGGTTAGTAGCGTTCGTTGACTCAGGTATCTAAGTTGCGCGCAATTGGATTTGTGCCGGATTAAAATCACTCTTGAAGAGATTAGGGCGGCAATAACTCATGAAACCGCTGACTGCTTGTCTCACCATGAAATAACCGAAACTGTTATGGTTTTCTCAAGAAGACTACTGTGTTTCTTTGCCTCCATCTTCGTAAACTGTGATTATCAACGATGTAGACTTGTCTGATGGGACTATATGTGATTTACATGCACTAGCTGGTTTCTCTATTAGTCCATAGAATATCTTCCTTCCATTCGCATGAATATCTGGTGGACAACCATCAGCTTTGCTATATTTTCAGATTAGAAACGGAATACTCAACTTATCTATGTATGTAGAACTGGTATCACGATAAAATTCGAAATCCAAGAAAATATGGAATCACCAACATTCACATTCAGGATGAATGTTGGGCAACTGGAGCGTGATTGTAAGGTCTTTCAACTGTTCTTCGGGTTTATTATAGGTATATTTTCAATAGATATTTGGACACAATGTTTTGCCCAACGTTGTATCTGGTTGTGTTGGAAAATTATCGGGACCCACACTTTCTTGTTACGTCCGCATTAACTATCGTCTTTTTTCTTCCAGTATCCCTAGTAAGTCTGAGTCCATGTAATTGCTGAAGTATCCGTTCACTGTTGAGTCCTTTTTCATTGGATGACATACTGGTCCACATTAGGCTTTGCGGATCTTTCGTTGGTTTACGGAGATGACTGTCAACCATAGGGTCACAGGTTCAAACCCCGCTCCACTTATCGAGGTCTAAGCAGTCAAGTAGTATTATTAGGCCTTACACAGTAGGTGTGGTTCATTGTCTACTGCACGGATATGCACAAGGTTGCTGAATGCGTTTCGTTTCCTATATAAGGCTTACAGACTTACCATTGATTGGAATAACGAGTAATTATAAGTGAAGCTGTTTCTTGTGGCATATCTTGTAACTGGATCGCGTTTCTAAAACCCTGTTGTCTGGCAATACATGTGATGACAGTGTCTCTATGTTGTTTTCATATCAGGATTTGTTTAATGGTTTTCATTCTGAAGTGGACTTTACACTCATCACAGGTTTTTCTATGTGGTTATTTATAGGTTTTGCAGAAAATGAAGTCAGAAGGGTGGTTTTTACGACCTGGCGTTAGAATCATATCGAGTAGATGGCAAGATGCAGTTGTTTTACTGACGAAAGAAATCGATGAAAAGAAACTACCAAGATTTGATGGGATATTTTTTGACACATATGCTGAGGATGATAACGATTTGAGGGAATTTCATACCTGGTTACCCAAACTCCTTTCCCTTCCTAATCATCAAGATCCAGAAGGTACTAAAAGTCTGTGTTTTCCTGGAAGATACTCCTACTATAATGGCTTGTGTCCTGACAATGTGTTTTTCCATGGGGTCGCATGTGAGACTATGAGGTTGCACCTGAACAGGTAACTATGAAAAGCTATTTACAACGACTTTTCATATGGTTTAAACTTGCCAGTTCTCTCGTATGACATCTTGTATTTAAGATTCTGCTGCATGGATATTATCTGCATATGTGAATTTATTTCATCACTGAAGAAGCACGTTGATTGGATGACTGTCTGGAAAGTTTGTTTTATGTATAAGGGAAGAAGAATAATATGATGTTGAATACTTACTTATTAGAAATCTATTACTCGTGCAGTTTTTTCGGAGCTTGATTTTCTAATCACTTTAGTGTCACCTAATGTACATTAAAGTAAATTGTTGTCACTGACTGCCTATTTCGTTTGCCAATGACAATTAGCGAAATATTCCTGGATTCTGAACACAAGGTTACTCCAGAACAACTTCATTTCTCTATAACTTAGCTGCTCGTTTTGATGTGTTGAAATTTCTAGTTGTCAGTTTCAGGAAATACTTATTAGAAACGAGTTCTCGAAGAAAATATTCTTACTACATCGGTTGCTTGTCGTAAGTTCATGTACTGTAAGAAAAAGCCTAGGAAGTTATGCAGTGTTGAGTTCAAATGATCTCTAACCCCTACCAAATGAAGGGAACTTGATGTTTTGAAGGTTATACAACAAAGCAGTTTGCGTAAGCAGACCGCTAGAATAGTAACTAATCTTATTGACTAAAATCTTTTCATTTTTGTGTGCCACTCGTGTTCATTTATCACAATCCCTTTTTTCCAGCTGATTCTGTTAACGGGGTACCAAGCCTTTCAACAAGTGCACTACCGTGACGCCAGATTATTAACTGTCAAAGCTGAACATATCGTTTTCCCACTGTCTCGTGATCTATTTGGAATTGATCACACGGTTTATTAAGTGTTACGATGTAACAAACGCGCCAAATACAAACCTCTATACTCAGTTGGATCCCACACCAATGTGTTATTCCCTAAATAAACAGTAGGACTAGTACTTGCAACTTTTAATCTCATTATTGTCACCTGAACAGTTACAACTCATTCGTACATACATGTGGTTATCATAACCACAGCCAAAAATATTTAAAAATATTCAAAAAAGTCACTTCGCCTGTACAATGAATAATATACTTATAGTTAGGTGGGAACAAAACGAAATGCATTCAGCAACCTTGTGCACACATTCGTGTAGTAGACAATGAGCTATACCTGTTGTGTGAAGGCTAGCAATACTACTTGGCTACCCGAACCTCGGTAGGTGGCCCAATTCTTGATAGTCATTTTCCTAAACCAATGAGCCAGAGCTCTACACATATAATTAGATGGTTTTAGTAAATTGTAAAGTAATAAATGATGTGGGAGTAAAAATTGGACACTTTTAGAGCATAATTATATATTAGATTGCTTACTTGATATAGCGTACAGTGATGTAATTTTATTTGCAAGATGACGTTTCGAGCAGAATTTATTGCCGTGAAGTCAGGCGAATCATCTAGCTTAAATTGTTGCAGTCGTATTGCGAACCCACTTAGTTCTAAAAGCGTATGATGTCTATTTAACAAAATCCCTATGACCTGTTCCCTAACACTTCCTCATGATTTAACAAATTATTTTTCTTGTTTTTAGACTTGGAATTAGTTGTGTATTCGACCCCATTGCTGTTGACGTTGCAGACCAAGAAATATGGAAGGATGTTTCTAAAAGATACTGGTATTTTGATACATATTTTCTACCGAAGTGTACTTTCGATCTTAAAGAATGAATTTAATCTTTCTCTCCTAAATGACTTCTCCATTAATAAGGCTGTTTCCGTTAAGACTGTAAAATACCTCTTGAGTACAGAGGTCTTTTGTTTATTTAAATACGTTGCATTACTGATTGGGTACACTTGATTTTCTGAACAAGTGATCAGTCTTGTCTTATTGCGTGAAAATGGACGACTGAACTGTTAGCATAGTTGCATAATAGTGGAATTATTTCCCTTTTTGCTTAAGATAACACTGGCAGGGGACTGAAGTTTTAGCCTACCGTTCTGTTTTAGCTTTTTCGGTCTATTGAATGTCTTGTTCTGAAGCTTGTACTTTACACCGCTATATGATCCACATCACTGTTTCTGGTACACTGGCTTTAAAGACGGGCTCAGTACAAATTCTTTGCAATCACTCTATGCAAAGCTATTTTAAGGAAATCGTCTTAATAGCTTCTATTCTCTCAGTAAACTCAGCAAGAGCGTAGCACATCTTTGCACATGTGGATCACTGCCTGAAACAGTGACCATATATACAGTTACAGTTCCACTTGATATTCTTGCTCATCTTACGTGGTTCATCAGTACACACTGGATCTCACAGTTTTTCATATAGACGAAAAAGAACGAGTTGTTACATTACAATAGGATGTAAAGAACAAGTGGATAGAAAAAGGGTGATATTCAACTTGTTGTAAGTATAATACGAGCACTAAGAGATGGAGGAATAAAAGTTAGTGAAAAAGTGAATACAGTTGCACCATTGTGATCAGTTCTCAGCCCTGTCATCAACCACTAGTTCGCATAACCTCGAGATCCCAGCCAGGCAGCCTAAACATCATTACACGTCTCAGACCAATAGTCAGGGACTTCATCGACTAGTGCTACGTTTCACTCTGACCACCCTAAACACTTCCAAACTAATCCAAAGTCACCTAGCATGGCACATAAAGGTAGATAGTGGCTCAGCATGCGCAACAAATGTCCAAACTATCTCAGATGATGAAGGTTAATAACCCCATCAATTGACATGCCCATCTTACCTGGTACTCTTCGCCCGTTCTCAACAATGCTCACACGGTGATTCCACCAAACGCGAGCAGTGCTACTAAGACACCAATGATGAAAACCCTACAAACACTTCATGTCTTCTACCTTTAACGGCCATGTCTCACACGAGATAACAGGACAGAACCAACTCCAGTGCAATATACTTGTCCTTTGACAAATAGTCGAATATCTCGCCGTCGCCACAAGCTGGCAAATGCCGAACAGGCCTTCTGTATGCGAGCTGATATTTCGTCAGCAACCGAACCGTTCGGGCAGATGTAACTCCCCAGGGAAGTGAAGTGGTCGGCACATTCCACGACTTCACTACTTATCGTTGTCAGCATCTTCATCCAACAGGACAATATCGTCTGCATACTCCAAATCAACCATGTGGCCTCCAGGGATTAGATTGATCCCTGTGAAACCAGACGTATGTAAGTTTATGTCCAATAGTGCATCTGTAACTAAAGTGAACAGGAACGGTGACTGCGAGCATCCTTGTTGCACAACAGCAGTTCAAGTCAATCCGAATAATAGCTCTCCAAAGACTGCACGGTTACATGAAATTTGGAAGGGAGGGACAAAGTTGTTCAATAAGGTTTTCTCTGCCTACACAGTAACATGAAACAAAGTAGAAATCCAAAACTGCTGATAACTCAGATGCTGATTTCAATTTAGACAGCTTCCTATCAACTTCATTATCAGGGATAAGACGGAGGCACATCACAAGAGCCACTTATCGAAATAGGTTATGTACTTTGAAAATGTCAACTGTGAATATATATATATATATATATATATATATATATATATATATATATATATATAAAGGAACAATGCCTATGTGCATATTTATAAGATAGACGATAAAAGTAAATATTGACCTTCACTCTAAAATGTATCAGTTTCATTCGCCAAACTCCACGCCAGCATGTAACGAACGAATACATAGAACAAGTAATAACTCGGCATAAGTATATGAAAGCAGAAAGACTGTAAACAATAAAAAAGTGAAGATGTCCAACTTTAGTGAACGTCAAACAATGAATACATCTGTACCATTGTGATAAGTTTTCAGAACTGACCACAGTGCAGACTAGCCGGTTGGGGTCCGCGGGACAAGAGAAACCAGTGGTTAGAGACTCTAGGTGATGTGGCTCAGAACCGATGTCAGTGGTGCAGATGTATACACACACATTATCCTCATCTTTACGACGCTCTACCGAATCCCACCATTTTCTCATTCTTCCTTTCTCTCTTTTAGTACTTTCGATTTCTTTTGACTGAATTTTCTTATCTTCATCTTGTGCCTCACTGCCTTTTTACTTGATGCACTCATATGAGCTGTGGCAACTCGGACCGTTATGCAGTAAAGCCTGGTCTTATGTTCATCGATGATGATCATGATCAGTTTCCAGCGATGTTACCCCGCGCCTCCAACGACTGATTCCTCTCTCACCAAGGACCCCATCTCCTCAGCCAAAACGTCACTATCCGTCTCTCACTAACACATAAACACCTAGTGAATTGGCGTAACGTCAGTCTGGTAATCATCAGCCTTCCTTCAACTTTACTCAAATTTTTCTAGCTTTTGACATCGAGGTAAGTGGCGGCTCCGAAGCGCAACAAATGTCCAAACTATCTCAGATGATGAAGGTTAATAACCCCATCAATTGACATGCCCATCTTACCTGGTACTCTTCGCCCGTTCTCAACAATGCTCACACGGTGATTCCACCAAACGCGAGCAGTGCTACTAAGACACCAATGATGAAAACCCTACAAACACTTCATGTCTTCTACCTTTAACGGCCATGTCTCACACGAGATAACAGGACAGAACCAACTCCAGTGCAATATACTTGTCCTTTGACAAATAGTCGAATATCTCGCCGTCGCCACAAGCTGGCAAATGCCGAACAGGCCTTCTGTATGCGAGCTGATATTTCGTCAGCAACCGAACCGTTCGGGCAGATGTAACTCCCAGGGAAGTGAAGTGGTCGGCACATTCCACGACTTCACTACTTATCGTTGTCAGCATCTTCATCCAACAGGACAATATCGTCTGCATACTCCAAATCAACCATGTGGCCTCCAGGGATTAGATTGATCCCTGTGAAACCAGACGTATGTAAGTTTATGTCCAATAGTGCATCTGTAACTAAATTGAACAGGAACGGTGACTGCAAGCATCCATATTAGCGCGTAATCGGAGTGCAAACTTGGTATTTCAGGAAGAGGGATGATCTCCCAACTATGACTAATAGCAAAATGATCTGTCTGTGTCCGTCGTTGGTTTGAAGTTGGCGGATCCCATATGAGGCAGTGTCTCTCCTTATGCCTAAGGTCAGTGCTGGCCAGAAACAAGTGGTTGTCGAAACTTAATTGGAAGATACGATCATCGTCTTCGGTATGGGATTCCGTAGATACCTCCTAGGTACCTTTACTTGTGCCTCAGCTTTCCTACTTAGGTTTTAAAGTCACCTGGTATGATGATGATATGTAAAAGTTGTTTTTGTGTAGCGTACTTGGTAGCTCATAGATTTCATCCTCTGCATAATCCGGACTTCAGGCGGTTGAGATTACGAACAGACTTTGTATACCCTCACGATTCTTACTAGTTCTTACAGATCCATGTAGTCGGATACCACATAGACGGCTGTTGACTGGTAACCAGCCAAGAAGTGTGTTTTTCGCTGGGGAAATTAATGCTGTTCTTACACTAGTGTAAGCTCACGAGGTCTAGCCATAGAATCTCTGGGCCTTGGTAAAATGGGCTTAGAAGATTCAGCGCAATGGTCATGTGAGGTCAAGTGAAAATCCACACTCAAGTATTGTGTACCTGTACCAAATCCATGACTCGAGACTCCAGAGATTTGCCTGTTGTTCGATCTGGCATAAGGTTCAGACGTTGAAAGCTTCAATCTGAAGCGGACATTGGCGTTTTAAGTGAATAGGAATAGTATTTCGCTGGCTTAGATTGTTAACAGTGGTCGTAGAATGAGGTCGAGGAAATTGTAAGTGGGTAAATATTCGTATCAGAAAGTGAAAGCAAAGAAGGAAACATGGGTAAGTGGGTAAGTTATGTTTGACTGGGCTTTATACGCTAATGGAAGCGTGCAAGCGGTTGGTACTTCCCATCTGTCCGCATCATGGAAGCTGTTTCACTAGGGTACCTGAAAGAGGAAAATACTTCTGATCACGGAGCCAATGATTCATCTGAATAAGACTTGTTACACAAAGCCTTTTGAGGACTGTTTGTTTGAGATTTGGTAGTTCTAACGCCGGATGGGAAAAGCCCATATCACGGACACCGGAAGACCAAGAGGATGCGAAGCATATTGTTTTTAGTCTTTCTTTTCTGAGCCCCGATCCTTACCTATTGAGAAGACAGCATCAACATGGCACTGCTGGTCATCCGCAGGAAACACCCTACTGCTATCATCGGGTCCCAATCACATCGTAGTACTTTACACTGCGACACCAACTGCTTTGTCTTACCACTATCCAACTGACCTTTCTGACATGCTAAGACGTCGAGGGAACAAGCGTTTCAGACAGTATAGCTGATTGTAATACGGAAGCCCGACCACCGTCTAGGTACCAGCTTTCGGCCGAGATTGATCACTTGGTGAAACATTTTGTTTACGATGCAGAAATGTGTGAGGTACTAAGCGAAGGAGACAAACCAAATAATTTGGTTAGTAGCGTTCGTTGACTCAGGTATCTAAGTTGCGCGCAATTAGATTTGTGCCGGATTAAAATCACTCTTGAAGAGATTAGGGCGGCAATAACTCATGAAACCGCTGACTGCTTGTCTCACCGTGAAATAACCGAGGGTTTTGTGAAAGAGGACACTCAATGGTGAGACAGAGGATGCGTTTTCTGAATTTCGGGAGTAGTATTATTGTATAGTTTATCTGTTAATATCATTGTTTTTGGTTTTTCTCCTTTTTGTTGACTTTTCCATCAATGCACGGGAAGAGACGATTTCAGCCTCAGATGTATTAGAGTTAGATATTGAAACTACATCTCTAAATACTTAAAGGACTGGTGGTTTCATATGTGGCCAAAATTGTCGGATGGCTGCTAAGGCTTGTTGAAGTACAAATGCTGGTTGTGGTTAGCAACATCACTGCATAAAGCACTGCTATCCGGTTAGGTTTACGTCTCAGACGTCGGAGAAGAACTGCAATATATTCACATTAGGATACATTCATGGTTTTTTTTGACAATAGCTGAGAAAGCCGAATGAAACCAGTAAGCTGTTTTACGAGTTCGAACAGATTGCATTGTAGGATGACTTCAAGACAACTGAGTACTTAAACCTATGGTGATAGTCGCCCTAAACTTGGAGAGCAAACTAGATTTAACCAATACTGATCAAAAGTGTCATATGGGCTGAGGAAACACGTCCGACAGTAAGTTGACTGGGAAAGTTATGAATCATACTTTAACACGGTATATTTTCAAGAACCCATCCAAGCCACCATCAATTGTCTTTAGACCTTTTTTGACTAAAATACACATCTAAGATTGATATTTTTCATCTACAAGCTCAAAGTTATCACTTGTTGTCGTCCGTCACAGGTTTTGGCTATTTTCAAACTCACATACACGCACCTCAAGTTGACAACACAGCAAATTTAAAAGATTCAGTTCGTCCGAATACCAGTCAGCACTGATTCTTATACCGATGAAGACCACGTTTTTCTTTTCATGTAAACCCAGATCTTTTACAAAAATTTATTTTGAAACTGGAAGTTTTTTTTAAGACCTCAATGATGAGTTTTGAGATTATTTCACATAGCCTTGGAGAAATACTTCAAGCAATCTTCAACGGCTTTAGAGACTGACTACAAGTTTGACCTCAGAATGATACCAGTATTGATTCAAGAGGTCTCACGAAAACGAAAATACAACGGATACCCCAGTGGTTCAAACTGACACTAACAGTGCCACATCCATTCAATTCGAAAAACTGGAGTGATGTAATTTAGCCTTATGAAACATTACTTGCTGCTTTTTTGTTTTTTATTCTGACAGCGTTGGTTAGTTGTCCAAACAGGTTCACTACGACAAATTCTTACCAGAAATATTTCAGACAGAATTTCCCATTGGATGAATGAAGTGTTCACAGATCATACGGTAATATACCATTAATCAAGTGAACATAACAATTGTTTACCAAGTCCGTATACATCACAACCACAAAAATATGATGTACATAGTCTAAACTGATATACGTAATTCGTGAATCAACACAAGGATTCCTCGCTATAGTTATCTTGAGAACAGTTTTCCTCAGACGATTACGTGGAACCTTAAGTATACGGATCTTATGTTTATTGACGTACAAAAACAAAGCTCAGTTTTTGTGCTAACAGAGATAGCGAAAATATTATTATGAGAATAAATTTACAAATTTCAAACAATATATTCATGCGAAAAATACAGACAATATACAAACTACTAAAATCATGAATTTTAACGAGTTTTCTTATCACAATAAAGATCTGCCACCAAATTCCTCAAGAACTCATCGTACCTTTCTCTCTGGAGCTCTCCTTTAACATTGAAAAACTCTGCAGCAGACTTTTCTACAGCAGACAATTTGACTTTCTTAGTAATGCCATCACACACTCTTAAGCTAAAATGGTACGTTGGGTCATACCTGAAATTAATGCATCGAAGTCAATATTATGGTTACTTGTTCATGTATGAAGATGCTGTCCAGGCATCCGCAGGGTCGACTCCCGTCTTATCTTCTTTGACCCCAGTGAAGAAAACATTCTTTTCCACGTACATAACATATAAGGTAATCATAGCTGACATCAGGAAGTAAAGCACGATACAGACTATCAGCACCGTTCGAGAGCGAGGATGTGGGTACAAATAATCAAACAATACTCCGAAGCCTGCTATTAAGACAGATATTGTGCATAAAACTAATCGTCCATCAAAAAGTTGGTGAGTTTCAACTAAGCCAAGCTTTTTCATGAACAACTGAAAGATAAGACTTATAGTTGATATGTACCTCTTTGGCTGCATCATCAAGAGCCAACTTTAGTGAACCAACGTCCCATTTGTTGACCGTAATTTCTTTCGGAGTTTCAGAAGACATTTCAAATTATTGACGTGACGTTTATCACAATACGTGGTAACGTGGTGCATTAAAACTAGATGGCAATAACATTGGATGCAAAATATTGATGTACAAATAAATAATTCCGCATTCCAGTTCTATAAAAATGCCTCTGCATGACATTAGACAAAGAAAGATTAATGGAGTGCCATGGTTTCACATAAATGGTTTATAGTGTACTTGTAACAGACATAGTAAAAAGCCTTTCCATTTTCCGATACATTGATCTTCATATAGCAGAACCATTCCCTCACCCTGACAAGGCCCTTATCAAAAGATGTGGTTTTTCAAGATCGGGGGTCATGCTTGTATTTGAGGAAAAACCTAGCTTGTGTGCTGACCGAATGAGATACTAATTTCTGAGATTTTTCTTTCGTGTTCACAAGTAAAGTCTGTTTTTTCGCCGAAAGCTCCTGAATCTTTGAGGTTGATTATGAAAGACTTTTCGGGCTGCCGGCCTATTTATAAAAGTGTTTCTTCAGTGGCCGTAGGCATGTCAGAATTTCTGTCATTTCGAGATATTTGAAAGGTAACAGATGAGGATGTCAAGATGTCAACTGGGCTTTCATGGGGACACAAGCCTGTGTTTTCGGAATGTCAAACTCCACGTTAAGCACATGCGACTGGTGACTGCGTGATCTAAAATATGAGTGAAAAAGAGGTCAGTTGGGTGCGTTTCATATTATGATCAGGATCCTCAGCTTAGGTTATCCGTATGAATTGGGTCTAGAATCTATCTGGCTAAGGGAATGGAATTGAAATCAGTCCCCTACTCTTCAAACCATAATATTCCCAATCCTCGTGTTCTATAGTTAACTTTATCGTCACCTTATTCCTGGGATACTTGGGCCCCCCTTGGCAAGACGATTGATGCAAAGTTGTTGTTTCCAACTTTTCAGAGGATGTTCAGATGCTAATCGAACAAGAGATTTCCACGATAAAGGTTGGTGGACAGAATATGCATAAAAGAAAAAGTTGGCATCGAACTGTACAGGTTAGCAGTTTAGCTGTGTCTTTGACGGCTGATTTCATAACGCTTGCGCGAATCTGACACAAGCTGAGCATACCCAAATTAGTGCGCCCAGTCACAGTGTAACAGTTGTTTCTACTTGGATTTGTGGTAGTGGATAGCGTGGGGAAAGTCAATGGCATTTTAGTGGAAGTTGAATGGAAGTTTTCGTCACACTTCAAGGAACATAGTGTAAAGCTTAGGAACAGTACCTAGAAACGTGGATTTTTGAGTTCAAATATAGGAAAATTCCGCAGCGTCACATACTTCTCGAGAATCAGTTGCCCAGTGTTTGACGAGATTCAACATTGATGCTGACCTTCGTAGTTTTACCACTAGGCCGAAGGCACACGGTCAGGCGTCCACGCCATTTAGCACGCTGCCGTGGTACGTTTCACTGCTGGTAATCGACCGTTTAGCCAGTAAGTTGGAACGCACCGGTATCTTGGCCCGACCTAGCAAATATACTATTCCGCCCGATTGTGTTATTCCATGGTCTCTGTAACAAGTGCTAATAACTAATGATTGGCCTCTGCGTCCGTCGAGCTTTCGCGAGGACAATTCTCAAAGTTCCCTTCGATCCCAGTGGCATGAATTAAAATCGAGCAATACTGCATGACCAAACTGCCTTCCACAGCAAACGAATGATCTTTTATTGTTGGTTTTCAAGGTAGAACTGATCTGATTTACGCCGACGTTCCGAATACATTCAACCATGGCTATAACGAATCCTCTACTAGCGAATCAAAGCTGGCCGAGATCCACCTTCAACCGACTGTTCACTATATTTATGTGGCAGTCTATATAGATGTCTATAATATTTTTCACTGTGTAGACATCGAATGTGCAGCTGACATTCAACATGGCTTAGCACTTAAACCTCTTCATCTTCTTACATGTATATATATATACGATCCGCCTTGGCAGGCTCCTGCTGTTATCCTAATTTCGCCAACGGTGTTAAACTAGAAAGCGAAACAGAACGCCAGGGACTAAGGGTTTTCCCGAAGGAAGATTCAACCCAGCCCCTCACTAGGCTAACAGCAGTGGGTTTCCGTATATTTGTGATCAGATCAAGGCGGTAAACCCCGGATTGGATGCACCCAATGCACCTGGTCTCGGTGGCGCAGTGAGAGAAGCGCTACCGATGCAGAAAGGTTTCGATTTGCTGGCTCCTACTAACCAATAAACTTTTGTAATTGCATCTCATCCTCACTTCTCAGTGGTAATTTCTAGACGAAATCTCGAGCAGTTGTAACGTGGATGTCCCCACCTGATTTTGAAATGCCCGCAAACGACCTCACCTAGAATTAACGGCTGTAGTCTTCCTACATCAATAAGAAGGACGATACGTTCAGGGTGCATACAGAGGAGGTGGAACAAATTCGCTTAGGAAGTCAAGCTCACAACATATAGAGGACCAACCGTTGCATTCGATTCATGTCCCCTGGAATACAAGTCGTAAAGATATTTGCCAGAGTTCAATACTGTAGTATCTTTTTGTTTGAGACTTTTGCTGATGGCTAGCGAGTTTATCAGACTCTCTTACACTGCTGTTTCAGGACTGCATGCAGATTCAGGGAGGTATTTGCGAACTCATTGATTTTAGCTTCTTCCGAAGAAAATTTGGTCAGACTGTGTCACCACATTATGAACGCTGAAATTCTCTTCAGCTTACCATGCTAAATGGTTAAAACGCGTGACAGCACCAGGGAAAAACGCTATTTCAAAGCGGGAGCTCTATCCTCATCCTTTATTCTGATAATTGTAAGCTAGTATTTCTTATTGAAAACCTTGATCTTACTGTACTATCTGTCACTCATCTATGTCCCGTTGAATACTCGATCAATCTTTATCATCAGCCTTTTACGAATAGTTTCCAGCCTTTACAAATTACCTCATAAGAAGACAATGCTGATAAGTATTTGCCATACTTAGGGAACTAACCACTATTTTGGGAAAAGTCCCAACAAGCTTGACTGAAATTGTTGTGTCTCCATTAACCATAAGTGATTTCTTTCCTACCAAGACACTGGGAAGACCTTTCGCGCATGAAAAAATTGATCGATAAGGCTGAACATTAGTGCGTCATAATATTTCACTCGTAATTTCAGGGCTCCCGATTGAAAGTGGGCGAGCTACGGCTGTCATTTTCTTTATCTTAAGGAAGTAAAGGGATATCATATATTCTGGTGTCTGAGTCTGTAGGCTGTGAGATTGTTTACTTGAAGATCCGTGGATAAACTTATGCCTAGATATCTTCAAATAGAAAACGAAAACGTGCCTTCACTCCACTAACGGGGGCTGAGAGTTTTGAGGCGGATGCTTTCCACGCCTGGGCAAGTGGTGTCAGCCATCAATATGACCCTCGTTTTCACAGCTTAAAAGGGCAGAAGAGGACTTTTACTTAAGACCCATGTATGCATGATTCCTTCGGCTTCTTGTTCGCAACTTCCGCCGTAGAAATACGCAAAGGTCTCTTGGATTCGAGCATCATATAACAGCATTCTAAATCCAAACGTAATATGTTCGCCTCTCGTTTTCTAATCGGAAGTTGTGTTGCACTCGATGGTAAACGCTTTCCTGACTGATAACAAATGGCGGATGGAGGTGCAAAATACGTCTTAAGGATACGCTCATCCAACACACTCAACATAGAATTGGTTAACAAACCACCTCTTAGGTCATCCGACAAGGAAGCACTACGCCACACTTCCGGGTAGCTCATCCTTACAGATTATCCCCTTCTATGCTTTATAGTTTGTGTGATTCACGCATCCCTTACCAATAGCACGTGTCATATATTGTAGCTATTACATAAATCAAACACAATATTCCACTTTCCTTGGCTGCTAAGACTCACTGAGAAATCGAGGCGTAAGGGCGTTATTTTGATTAGACCAGAATGTGCCAGAAATCGTCGTGGATATTGACGCTCTTTTTAGGTGTGGCCCTTCTCCTGGGTTTGATAACTTCTGAATGTGGCTACGCTGGTTCTAATGCAGTGACATCTGGGGAACGATTAATGGGAAAATCGGCAATGAATAGTCCTCATAAGTTCCACCCGAGCAACCAGAGCTAGCGTAGAGGGTGAAAGTTGGAGGAACTGAAAGATTTTACCTCTAAAATTCAGTCGGAGTACCCTCCATATCAGTTCCTTTGTGGCCGCCATATGTGGACAATAAGTTTCGTTGAAATCCCCCAAACACCAACACCGTCTTTACTACCAGCTGTGTTTAGGACGGCAATAGTACGGTGTTACAGAGGCTGGTGAACGTATAATATTTCAAGGCAGTACTAGTCATTTTCAAGGGTAGGCTGCACACAGTTTGAGTTAACGTGGAATCCTGGTAGAGCTATCCCGTTTGCCGAAGGATTCAAAATAAGTGACTGTAGTCATTTCAAAAGCGTCGTCCGTTACCTCCGGTATTCTGTGAAACCCTTCAAGGTGTTGAGTTGGGATAAATTTTTGAGTAAGTTATGGCCATGTAATCCGGTGGCAGTGGTCAGCAGCTTTGGTAATTTTAACCTGAGGCACTTGTCTGAAAATGATATGAACTGAAGCTGAGTGTTTCGACCCAATCGGGACTAAAATCAGTTGCGCATGTTTTGATCCGCAGATCGATACCTTTGAAAAACTACTTTCCACGCTCTTGTGTCCCCTGGCTGTAGACAGTCTGTGCCCATCACTACTCGGTAAACTCACCACAACGCAGATCAGCCGTTCGCTAGGCATACTAATGCAACCAGTAAGACTGGGCAAGTGGTTAACATGCCTTGGTTGCATATGAGGGCTTTGAGATACCACATCTCACATCCCGCTGTGTTCACCGATCTACATGCCTGTGGGCACACATACATGGGGAGGAGTAATCGCTTAATGCGGACTAGGGTGTGTGAACACATATCTAAGCTGCTCGGGAAGCAATCTAACACATTAGTACTGACCGACATCCATCGTCATCTGTGGCAAAACACATCACTGAAATAAATCACAAGGTAATAAGAAAACGGCCTCTAGGATGTCGTGCAAGAATAATCAGGGGCACATACTGAAGTCTGCCGAAGCGTTAGCCATT